CAAAATTTCCTTTTTTTTTTTTTTTTTTTTTTTTTTCCTTTTTGTCTCTTTGTGACCGGCAACGGATCGCAACCCTCAGTGTCGCGCCTGTACCAGACCGGGACCGGCAACGGGATTGCAACCCTCAGTGTTGCCCCCGCACCTCGCTCAGCCAGTGAGCGGCCGGTCTGTATGTGGGATCCGAACCCTTGGCGGGAGCGCCGCCACGCTTCCCAAGCGGCGCACTATAGCAGTGCGCCACCGGGCTGGCCCTAAAAATTTCCTTCTTTTTAATGGCCAGCATAATGGTTTGAATGCTGCCTTCTGCCAGTTCTGACTTCCCAATAAGAATGTGGGGGAAAAAAGACACCTAAAAATGGCCCTATAATCAGTGGTGTTCTGGTAAATTCTTAATGATCAGCTCTATGATAGAAACAAATCCTGAGACATTTCCTGATTTCCATGCTCCTATGATGTCCAACTTCAGACTACCAACACGGTGTCACTGAATGAGGATTTGGGAAGAAATGTCTTAGCACACCACTGATAGAGTGAACTATTTGTTCCCTAAATTTGGATATAACATTTTACATATTTTACAGAATGCTTTTTCTTCACACCTGAACCTTTGAAGGTAACTTAAAGGTCTAAAATAAAATATGAATTTCTGTTTAGAATAATTCACACCAAAAACTAAAACAAAGCACTGATTTTTTTTCTTAAGAACGTGAGATTTATTTTATATAAGGTATATACAAAAGATTAATTTGTAATGTCTTATTAACAAGATAATCAATTTACAAGATAGAACATGGAAAATTTGGGGCATTCTAGGAAATTCCTTGGGAGTCTGGATAATAGTATCACTTCTTCTCGAAGCCTTTCCTGGATTCCCCTCTCTAACGTACCTTCAGTAAAATTAACCATTCCCTCTTTTGTGCTTCTATGTAGTCTATTCAGACTTCTATAGTGGTCCTATATCATTGCTTGTTTTCCCCCAGTTACTAAACTGTTAGCTAAGACCAGAAACTATGCATTATTCAGGTTATATCCCCAGCACTTAGTAAAGTATCTGACACATAGTAGGTACTTAATTAATATTGGTCCAATAAATTAAATATTAAAATAAACTCACATTTGGGTGAAAATTAAAGGCAACAATAGAAAACAAACCTAAAGAGATACTTACCATTTTATTCTGAAAAATTTTTCCACTTCTTGTTTTGCTTTCAGACACATCAAGTTCAGATGTTTTACTGACTAACTGCTCAACCTAGAAAAGGAAATAATTACACAAAACCATACAATCTAATAAAATCCTTTCATAATGTAATTAAACATAAAATTCAGGGTCTTGTTACGTTAAGTTAATGAAAACCAGTAATTTTGAGTTGGTTCATACTGTCACAAAATGCACGAAAGTGAAGATAGTGAAACTGACATTGTACACAATTGACCATTCACTAAACTGAGAAAGTCCCAAATGATCACAAGGCACTACCCTTCCAGAAGATAAGAACTTTAGTCCACTCACATTTGAGAAAGGGGCTGGGCAGAGAAAGGTGGACAATCAATC